CCATATGTATATACCTCTGAGCTCCCTAGTGCTGCTGGAGCATCAGCAGCTGGTACCGAAGGTCGGTACACTCAGTCTTCCCTTCATGATTTAGATATTGTCTCATCTAAATAATGATTCTCAGGGGAAAATGTGTTTGCAGCTGGTCTGGGTACAGTGCCTGTCCATAAGACACACATGTTGTATTTGGCACCCTGACACAAGGAGGGTCTCAGAGGGTGTGTGATGTGTCACCACTCCCTCGTATTTCCACTCCAGGTCCATTAAATGAGATAAAAAGGACTTTGGCAAGTGATAGACTGGCGGCGGAGCTGGCAGCAAGCAAGCAAGGAGTGAAACACCGTCTTTCACGTCTCCTTTTGCTCACCTCCAGGACCGAAGGTGGTGCTGAACATCAAGCCAAGGGTGCTCCAGGGCTACCCGCAGGTCCTCAGGCCTCCTCCATAAATCCCTCCTGCTGCCCCTCACTCCACCCTGAAGCCAGTCTCCGAATCCCTCCCTAATTTGTCAGCACCCCCCTTCCCTGCTCTGCTCACCCTGTTCCTGGCCCCCACTGAAGCAGAGCGGCACAGCCTTCCCCTGCACCATGTCCATGAGCACCAGAGAGATCAGCTCCATTCCATTCCAGTACGTGCATGGGAGGCTGCTGCAATTTCAGCTAAGATTTTGGGCAATTTTGCTTTCCAAGCACTTTGCTTCCAGCTAGGACAGGCCGAGGACAGTCACCAGCACTTCTTGGACCTGTCTCGTGCCCAACAGGAGCATCTCCAGGAAGGAAGGATTTGACCTTGAATCTGAGCTGCTTCGTCCTTGAGGGTGTTCCTCACTCAGCATTTTTGGGACTTCTTTGCAGCTTGATTTTAAAGTTTGCCTCACTGCTAAGGGTCAGCCTTGCTAATATTTCCATGCTCAGCATTGCAAAATGCTTATTTAGCAAAAGCAGGGAGCAGGAGCAACCCCAGTGCAGCAGGCAGTGGAAGCCGTACCTGGCAGGAACAGGGCTAATTGAGCCTCTCGGGTTCAAAAACCCACAAAATGTCCTTTTTTTACCAAGCTAAACACATTTCCTGGGGTGTCGGTAAGGGTGTTGTTCAGTGGTAGCCATCGCCCCAGCGCTGTCCCACCGGTTCCCCACGCGCTGTCCCCCGCTTCCCCATCCGTGGCACCCATCAAGGCTGGCAGGGGTGGTGGAGGCAGCGGGTGGGCACCGTCCCACAGCAGGCAGCCTGAGGCAGGGGGGTCAGTAACCAAACAGGAGGGACAGCATTCACCTGGCTCCGGTCCCCCAGCCCCCACCGCACCCCGCACATCTTTCAACACCAGACACACAAACTATGTCCTTCCCAGTCACATTGGTTTTAATATTTGCTGACTACGCTATAAAACAGTAAATGAAAATTGTACAAGAACATCTCCTGCCGTCAGCTATTTTTAGATCCTGAAAGTTCATTTCCTTTCTCTCCAATCTAACTTTGCAGTTCCCACCATCACTGGCAGTCATTTCAACGCAGCATGGACATCAATGTATTGGAAAATAATTACAATGACAGATTTTGTTTTGCTGTATGGGACCTTCCACTACTGACTCTAATTACTGCTGATACTTTATGAGCTCCTCCAGCACGAGATAATTGCTGCTTTCTCTTTTTATGAGCAAGAAATAATCAGTTGTCTTTTGAGGTGAGAAATATAAACAGCAATTAAATACCATGGCTATCCAACCCTTCTCGTCAGCAGGCACCTCTCAACAGAAAGCCAACACAGAAGAAGGTTAGGCTTCATTTATCGTTTGCACCCAATACTTCTTTTAATGGAGGGGGAAGGGAGGGAATAAGGAACACTCTCAAATGATCAATAGTTTTCCCCAGCTGATGAAATGCTTATTTTAATACAGAGAAGCAGGAGCATCTCACAAGCAAAGCAGTTTGCTTGCAAGTCACAGTGCTCAGCATCAGCACCAAGCCCTGTACAGGATCCAGCCTCGCGGAAAAGCTGCAGAGACAGCAACAGGCTCGAGCATCAGGGGGCACAAAACCACACTTGGCTTCTACCAAAACCTGCTGCTTTGGCAGTCTTTTCCCTGATGCAGAATTTCTAAAAATATATTTATGCATCTCCTAAACTTCCTGACATCAGCACAGGGCCCTTGGTTCCAACATCACATGCAAAGGAGATGGAGCAGAAGGAGACCTTTATGGGGGACCCATCAGACAAGTGGGAGCTCACACCAGCTTTTGCAATCCTGGGATGGATCTTCTCCCTAGGGCTGAAGCCTTATCCTGTAGGTGTGGGTCCCAGCCCTGGAGGAAATAAAACACTCTTGTGACATCCTCCAGGCTGGCGTAGGGTATGGGAACACACATCTGGAAACTGGTGAGAAGACCTCAGCTAGATTATTTTACTGGTTCAGATCATAAGAAACTTACTTCTGACACTCTGTTTTGGCAATCCTGACACTAAAACCAGAAAGCCTAGTAAACAAATACTTTTGGGTTTTTTTAGGGAAAAATACATAGTGAAAAAATCTCACATCTCAAAAAAAGTACTAATGGTTTGCACTCGGGAAAAGCTTCTGATGCTGCCTGGAATTCTGTCTTATCTGAACACTGGAGATGAGTTTCTCTACCACCTACAACAGTTTATTGTCTGGTTTGGGGTTTTGGTTTTGGTTTTTTTTTTCCTTCAGTTCTTTACTTGAATAAAGCACCTGCGTTTGAATAATTCAATGATGAGGTTTGTACCACTTTGTTCACAAAATCACAGCAGGGAGTGGTGTTTTTCATGAAATACATCTTTGCCAGCTCCTCTCTGTGAAGGAGTCTTGCTCTGTTTACTCACTTGCTAAAAGTCTGCCAGGTGGCAAAAAGTGACATGCCCCATGGGCTAATAAAATGGGGATGATGAGGGGATGCTGGGGCAGCACTCCCTTGTCTGCCTTTAGCCATCTAGAAGGGAAATGTCTGCATCTGAGATGAAGAGTGTTGTGGTCCTTCAGCATCACAGGAGGAAGATGCCTCCAGCATTCCGGATCTCCCTGGTTCCCTCCACAAGATCATGATGGAGGTGACGAGCTCAGGCTTAGGTAAATCACCTTTACTCATTGCAATTGAGGCAGGTGAATCCTGCCATGAGTTGCTGAATCAAGGAGGGAGAAAGATGCTCTTCTTATGAAGGCTGTAGATTGGAATTATGAATAACCATCCTGCTTCTGCTGCAGATTTCTTGTGCAAAGTAATACCCACATGCTCAGATCCCTAATTTATAAACAGGGAATAAGCTATCATCCTCTTGCAAAATACTGGGAGGAATTAGTCATATGTATTAACCTCGCATTCAAAAAGCAACGGAGGAAGGCATCACGAGTTGGAGTGAATTACTGAGATATCTATTAGGATGTTAACATGTATTTTGAATACAGAGTTGGCAAATCTCACTGCCAGAAAATTTGCTAATAATGAATATAAATGAGGCATGAACAGACTCAGCAACTTAATTAGCAAAAATGAACTATTACCCTTGTCCTGATTTTTTTTACCCTCTCATAATGTTGATAAAAAATTCACAAAGACTTCAGACAGATCAGTGCTTGGCCAAAGACTTTTGGCTTTAGTTTATTACGGCAAGACATCAACATATGAATTATGTGGCTTCACTTTCCGTGCTGCCCTCCTCACAAACACTAAAAAGGATGGGTTTTGATCAAGCAGGGAAATCAGGCTCTTCACTCAGCAACCAAGGAGGAGAGAAATGTGCTGTTTCCCATTCTAACACCTAAAACTTCTTATCATTACCACCTCTTTTGTGAGCAGTAATTTGAGTTTCTCCTTTAGCTTCAAAGATAAATGGAATGAAGATTTCAATTTGGATTACTCAGAGGAGGGCTGGAGTCGAACTGGGAAGTCCTTACAGGTACTTGGGAAAAGCAAAACCTCCCTCCTTGGCTTGCTTCTCAGTGCACCACATTACCGCTCACCAGTGAAGAGGAAGACTACTTTTCTCTTGTCATGGCACAAAAGAATTACGTAAATATGGTTGAAGGTAGAAGTGGGAGAAGGATTGACTATCCTGAGGTAATAAATATCACCGATACAGTCCAGTTACTTTATTAAGTGATACGGAAAGCACAGGAAAATGGTTTCAAAGGAACAAGAGCACTATAAACACTGGTCTCCTCCCAGTAAGACACCAAATGAATGGCACACCTGTCAGCGGAGATGTTTATCTGGTACATCAACTCAGATTTTCTAGGTATTTGTAAATAAACCTCAGTATGCTTCTTGGTCAGTGTCACTGCCTTGTAGTCCATTATTATCAGTATCATTAAGGTACACGCTGGATTTTTTAAGAAGCTAGGGGTACTCTGCACGTATAAAATACGACATTATGTATTGGTTTTGGTGCTTGCATGATTCCCCTGTAGTCCTTCAAACGCACAGCCCTCTAGTTTCTAACACAGCAGCTGCACACATGAGCGACCGTGTTTCTGGAACTCAGGATGCCTTCCAACATGGAAGCTGTATTTAATGGCACTCTGTAATATGAAGTTTCCAAAAGCACTCCCAATGACACTAACAAGAACTCATGCATTCAAAATCCCACCCAAGAGACCCACGGGCCGTGTTGTCTGAAGACAACTGGAGCATCTTCTTGCTTCAGGGATCGCAGAGCGTAAGCCATGGCACAACCATGACTGCCTGTCAGACTTCGGAAGGATGCTGAGAAGGTACAGTGCTCTGCCACAAAAACTCCATGCCACCATCTACTGTGCATGACATTGGCACCTTGGTTCACAATCTGGCCAAGATTTTCAAGATTCACCTGCTGTTAACACAAAGAAATCCACCGCTGCTATGATCCACTTACCGCACAAATGCAACAGCACAGGGAAACAACACTGCTGAATAGGATGAAGACCTTTGGATTTAGATGCTCTGTTAACATAACATTTGCACCATTTGCTCCAAGCCCGTGGAGCACAAGGTACAGTAAGGAGGACTCACCCGTTTGGTGTAGTCCATTGCCTTCAGGATGGAGAGGTTCAGCGTCTCCAGTGAGGCCAAGACGTCTTCGTAGTCTCCCATATGGTCAGCGAAATAGTCTGGGAAAACCAAGAGGGACATGAAAGGAACTGTCGATGTAACTTAATGCTTGAAGGCTATGTATGTGACACAGCAAGGTCTATTTATTGGTGGAAAGAAAAAAACAGATATATTTTTATATTCTATATCCTGAGCCAAAGTTACAACTTGTCCTGCAGGGACAAGAAGTGGTGCAATTCCCCTGAAGTTTGGGACCATGGTAAAAAAGAGATGTAAGGCACAGTAGCTCCCATTGAAAATAACTTGGCAAGTGCTTTATTTCCATGCCTGTTTCTTCATTTGACCATATCTTGGCTCTCTCCCTCCTATTGCCAACATGGAGAGAGAAATCGTAAAAGAAATCCCCTTTCCATTCCCTTGACAGTCTTTACCACTCAAAGCACCCAAATACCTGCCAGGGTCACCCCAATTTATATGAGCTGAGACTGGCCTTACATCTTTCCCTACATTCCCATCACATTTGCACCTCAGCCCACAATCACAGTTTGCACAGGCTTCTGAGAGCAAAATATGCCTCAAAAGGAAGAGAATGCGGCTGCAAGCTGGACACAAAAGCACATGTTCTCCACGGAGAGGGAGTCCACGCTTTCTCCGTGCCATCCTCATCCCTCCTGTGGAAGGAGTGATCCACGCCAGGCTGCACCGCAGCTCCGGCAGCCGCCAGACGCAATCCCAACCACTCTTCACTAATGCAAAATACAGCCAAAATCGGTGTGACCCTACACAGCTGATGGCTCCATGACGCATATGAGCCCTGGTGTGGTTTTGTGCATGAGCCACAGAGTCCTGGAATTCGCTGTTCACAACAGAAACAGGGAGAAGTGAAGTGTGGCAGTGAGGTGTGCAGCGAGTTTGCGGCGTAGATGTGGTGTTACCTGGTTTCTGGGTGGTTGACACAGGCTACAGCTAAAAGCTGTCACTTAAAAGCCACCAGTGCCATTTCTTAGCACTAAGACGTGAAGATTCACACTGAGGTGACATCTCTGCGGAATGCAACAAGACATAAATTCCAGGAAACAATCCCACTAACTAGGCTCTCTTGGCTTAATTAGAAGTGCCTATAGCTATTTACAGCCCAAGAACATATCCAAAGGGAAGATGACTTTGGCAGAAACCAGAATGTCACAGCATGATTGACAGCAGCTGTTTGCCGTTCCACGATAAGCCAAACTGCTTACTCTCACTGCAGTGTGTTTATTTGTGCCATTCTTATTACTTTACTTGGGAAAGAAAAACTGAGCAGATCGTCAAGGTAAAGACTTTTTGTAAGTCCTGAAAGAAAAAGCTGGACGCATACATTTCAGAAGAAATGAGCTGCTGTGGGCAGAGCACCGCCCTCAAGACTGACCAAGGAGCACCTGGGAGGAAAACAGCATTGACTTAACCAAAGTATTCAGTTCTACCGTGTTAGCCTTATTTACTCATGTGAACATCTGAGTTCAGCTCTTCCTATCCTACATGGTTCTTGCTGATGCCTCCTACACGTCTGCAGAGAGCAATGAGATCAATGCTCAGGAGATGAGCATCACTGCAACCCAGGGCTGGTGTGGGAGGAGGTGGGTGCCACTCTTCCCAGCAAAGCCATCACACACCACCCTGGTAGTCTGCAACAGGTCGATGTGCATCTCCTGTTTGTAGAGTACACCTCAGTTTGCTGGACAGCTTGTACTATTACATGCAATGTCTGTGTTTCATTTATACTGAAAGGTGGCAGGTACAATTTCGTAGCTGTACTCACATTTTCTGGGCGTATTAAGTGCTCCCAGCCATGACTGGGAGCTCCTCTGGGGGTAGGGAGCTACACAACCATGTTTAAGTCAGTCTAGGTGTTGGTGATTGTTGCATTTGTTGGCAGGAAAAAAATGGGAACTTTGTGAGAGGCTACCTGATACAGATCAAGCCATATCAAATTTCCCATATAAGCTGCAGGGCTCAAGAAATCCCTTTTAAGACGCTCTCAACATCTTACAACACACAACCCATGTCAAGAGAGAGACCACAGCTTCCATTTAGCCAAAATGAGGTTTTATGTTTAAACTAATACTTAGAAGAGTAGCAAGCAAATAAGAAATTGCAGGCAAGAGCAGGTATTCAGCAGATAACAGATCTAGGCAGGATCTCTCCCTGATTGATTCTTCCTCCGGCTTCCCGAAGGATGTGATGGGTTTATCTCCCTCCTCTCCTGGCAGCTTCACCCCTGGGAGAGGCAGCAAGGTGGGATCACGCTGGGTGACAGCTATGTGATTTTCTGATTTTATCAGACTGATGGAGAAAGCAGGGTGGGGTCAAGCAAGGACATTACTACCCCTCTATTTGCTGGCAAGGTTGATGGTACAAGCTGTGGGGTTTTGATTTCTTGGGGCAGCTAGCAAGAAGACCTAATGCAATGAGAAAAGAGTGATGGCAACAAGCCCATCGTATTGTCGGCAAACCAAAAGGATTTTATGGAAGGCTTAGTTTCTTGCATACCAAAAAACAAGTGGGGATAACCAGCTGAAAGTTTGCTGCAGGCTTGAATGCTCAAAATCCTGTGGTTAGAAAGGCAGGGTGTTGGCAGGGGTTAAGTATACCAGGCGGAGAGAAACCCTAGACAATATCCTGGTGCAGGCAGACCCGCAGGCTGTGATGGACAGAGAGGTCTTAAAAGTATCGGGAATGACGAGTAACCGCCTGGTGCTGGCACGGGCGCCCCGGCAAGCGCCTTTCTGGCTGCACAACCCGCTCTCAGCCAGGCCTCTGAAGGCTGTCATTAGTGGCAAAGTGAGGAAGGTACATGGCGAAGACCTGCTGAAGTGGCTTTGTATGTTCTTCTGCATGCTGGCACAGGAAGGGAGGAGAAGAGATGGATGAGCCATCTGCAAGGCCACACACCTCTGTCTCCCCAGCTCCTCCCAAAAAGCTGGGGTGCAGGAAACATTTCCTAATACCAAATGTCCATGGAAAAATACACCCGACTGAGCAGCAGGAACCCCGTGCATGAGTCACCTCCTATTAGGGCAAAGCCCTTCAGAAATCCTGGCAGGAAATATTCCCTTTCTGGTCAAGGTGTGGAACAAAACATTATCAGAGATTTTCATTTCGGCCTTTAATTTCTGCAAGCTGTGGGAGGTGCAGCAGAGGTGGTGTACTCCTTAGGCAGCCTGCTGGGAAACACGAAGGTTTGCCTAAGGAGAAACATGTTATGGGTATTGCAGAGGGGTACTGGTTTATTGAACGTCAGAGCGGAGCCAGAAGCCATGACATTGCCAGAAATTAAACTCCAGCTTGTTATTGAATGGGGACGAGGTGCTCCGCTCAGCTATGACCCCATTTGTGTTGCAAGAAAATGAAAAAAGTTTTACCAATTTCTCCGTGGAACAAGTGGCAAAGCAGCAGAAGTGCTGAGACCCGCTCCCTCAACTCCGCAGCCACCATGGCACCACCAGCTTTGTAACAGGTTTCATGCATCCTTCAAAAGCACACATGCATGTAATGATTGCTTTCACCCCAAAAGAGGGACCACACTCACCGCACAGCTCCTTGGTGTCCACGTTGCTGGAAGAGGGGAGGACAAGGCAGAGGAGGAAGCAGGAAAAAAGGAGAGAGAAAGATGATTTTAATGTAAAGGACAGACGAAGGCTACAGTTAGGATTTCTGCAGGCTTAACCCCACCTGCAACATCACCTGCCCCCTCAGCATCCCCCAGCCGTGGGTGGGGACAGCCTAAGGAGAAGGCAACGGCTGGTGCCACTCAGGACATCCACACACCTCCACATCTTCAGCATTGGTGCAGTTGGGATGGGTTCGCACGTTATTTTGGATATTATCTGAGGGGGAAAAGGGGATCTGTGCATCCCCCCTGGGGGTGGACCTGTGCCTGTGGGAAACTCTGTACCCGCTCAGCACAACAACTCCTCTGCCTTCCTCCCAAATATCTACCCCAGTGAGGCACCCGCTGTGGCACAGGAATCTGTTCCCATTTGCTTGGAATAAAAATTTGCAAAATTTACTTTACTAGATGGATCAGTTCTCCTGATTCTGCCCCCACGAAGCATCCACGGGGCTGTGCACGGTTCCTGCCTGGGACTCCCTCTGGACAAAATTGCACAATTACTTCTTAAGACATGAACATTTAGTTTACGTAACGACATCTCAACAGACAACCTGCTTGGGAAATAAAGATTGCTGCTAATCTCTTTGTGCCTCAGATTCCCCCACAATTCTTAGTGCTGTTCAAGCACTGGAATGATCTCTTAATAGAATTATATTTTATCAATGCATTTACGCCTTAGAAAGCTATTTCTTTAACAAAACTCATCACTGCTCTGTCTGACCTCTGTCAACGTAAGTGGATTAGGGAAAGAGATGTTTTCAATACCGCTTTCATTAGTGGCATCCTCCCGCAGCCCTGCCCCAGACCCCAAAATCCTCCTGATCATTTGCCCATGCCCTGACCGACAGGTCTGTTCCCAGCCCACAGGACCTGGGCTCTTCCCTCCCTCCCTCCCTGACCTGAAGCTTTCACTTGCTGCTGGCCCTCTCTTGGGATGAAATGTCCTTCTGAAGGGATGATGCATGGTGGGAAAGCATTAATTTGGGATTGCTGTCTTCACTTCCAAGGCCACACTTGAACCCTATCATCGAGGATTCATGACACAAAGCACGATGCCTTTGCAGCAAGCTGAAGTACCCAGGAAAATCTCATCTCAGCTGAAATCTTTTGCCATCTTCTGCAGCAGGCTCAGACCCCATGTGAGCAGAGCAGCCTCAGCGGGCTGTGCGTGGCAGCAGGACAGGTCACAGGCTGCGTTTCCCACTCAAATAGCACTCAAGAGCACTTCTGCTTTAGCAGAAAGACTAATGTAGGAGATTTTTTTCTTTCTATTTAGGCTCTGCCTGGGAAGATGCAAGTTCCTGCAGCTCGGGGACCCTGCTGACCTCTCACTAGATGCATTTCATCCCCTAGGCATGTTAGCTGGGTGCACAACAGCTAAGTGGAAACACATGTGTGCACTGGTGATATCTGGGGAGGAAATTCCCCAAATTCACAGTGCCACTCATGCCCAGGCTCTCCCCAAAAGCAGAGCCCCAGGAGACGGTACTGGGGACCCATTCACCACCAATTCTGAGCTGTGGGACCCGCTGGGCACTGGAGGCAAACACAAACATCTTGATGCTCCGAGATGTCGGCTGCCAGAAAGGTGCCACTCGACCTGTCTCACGCTGTAAAAGCACATGTTACTGAATCATGCAGCCTTTTGGGTAACTGATGTCTGTCACGGTATAAAAAAAGTAATTTCTTATCTCAGCCACCTTCGTGGTGCAGGATATATGGCGTGACAGCTGCTGGCAGCAAACATACTGGCACGAGCTTCAGCCAGAGGTACAGGCAGCACAGACATCTCTCTGAAAAACGAGCTTTCACACTACTTTATCTTAATTCTCTCGGAGTTTTATCGTCTTTCTCAAACCCTGGAATTACTTCACTGAATCCTATAAAACTCCCTGGGGATGCTGCAAGCTCAATTTCCCTGACTTGATGTTCTCATGCCCAAATCCACTGCTTATGCAGATCTGAAACACTCCCCAAAAGAGCCAACTCCTGACCGAATAGTCCACAGAGCTTTGGCAGCATGCGATTGCTAACATGGAGCCTCAGCAATTCACAGGCAGAGAAAATTCAGGTGGGGGAGAAAACCCAGAAGATGCATTTCCAACACTGGCACGGCCTCATGCCTGTCCGAGGACTGCGGTCAGCCTTTCATCAAAGCTCTCACCAGCTTGGAGCCTGGGAAGTCAACCAATACTTGCAGACACGTGCACTGGAGTAGTTTTTACATCAGCAACACCCACAAAGTGCTTAAATAACATTTTTCAGAAGCCAGGTAGTGTTTATAAACACCTACTGAAGTGGGTATGGGTTTGCAGCTAGGGCATGTTACTAAGAAGAAAAAAAATCTATTATTGTATTCCACATGGTTTTGCATTGTAATTATTGATCTGCTGCTGCCAAAAATGGTCTTCTACTTCCTCGCATCCTGCCATCATATTTAACTTAATTGTGCTTGAATGTTAACTTGGTTGAGAAGTTGCTTTTAATTTTAAGCCATCTTGCATTAAGAATAAGCCTAATCAAAGAAATTACTGAAGTCATAAGCTGACTTAATGAAAAGCATGATAATGTTCAGATAAAAACTTGTATGGAGAAATCAATGTGTACTTGAGCACAACCCACAGAATTTCCTAGGATGTTTCCATCCCACAGCAGCGTGCCCATCGGGAACATCCCTGACACGCAGCCACATCCCCATTGGTGTTACAGGGGTTTTATTGCCTGACATGGGTGCTGCACAGCTGAACACGCAAAGCAAGGGATGTGCAATACCCAAATACGAAACAATTTACAAGCTGCTCTGTAGTTTGATGCTTTAGTAACTAACCATCCCATGGGTTCTGCCAGTAGGAATTTTTTATGATGCAAATATTCAGCATCTGGGCTTCAAGCCTTGTGAAACAGGAGGTGGTGGTTACCCACAAATATCCTCGCCATCCCTAACCCTTCATCCCAGCACTGCCATTCAGTGGAGATTTTTAGAGTGGTCACATATCACAAAGCCCTTTGAAATGAAAACATTTTGATGAGCATTAGTTACCAATAATTTTTTTTAAGCTGCCAAATATTCAACATTCCCATAAGCTACAATAAACTAAAAAGAAAAATCTCAGCAAGTTGTTCTCATTCTTTCAGAAAAAAAAAATAAATCTTTCTGCTACTGGAACACTTGTCTGTGAATTAGCTTTTAAATTTAAGCATTCTTACGTTAATAGTATGACTAACTAAAGAACTTACTGAAGCCATAACCCAACTAACTAAGCAGAATATAAAAAATGTTCAAGTGAAACTTCAAATGAAGAAATCATTAGACTCCTGTGTTATATAGTTTTTTCTGCATAGTAGAGGCCACATCTATCTGGTCTCTTTCTGAAACAAGTCTTTCTTTCAAACTAGAAAAAAAAATCAAGAAAATCCAAGTCTTTTTGGTTTCAGGCCTTTTTCTCTGTTTTCCAACCGATGAAGCTGCAAGGTGGAGCAGCACAACCTTGCATCCCTAACCTCGCTGGGGATGTGTAGCCTTTGAGATTACTTTCCAAGGCAAAGATATACCTTGGAGATTTTCCATTTGCCACTTGGGACCTAATTTCTCCAACAGAAATAGAAGCCAAACACAAGTGCTCAGCTTTCAACCTAGAGTATCTTCTGAAAAATCACGAGTCCAAGCCATAAGCTCATTTGGCCACAAAAAGGACTGTTTGTTGCTCACCACCCACCACCATTTAAATACTCTGGGATAATTTGACCAGATAAACATATTGGCAATAGGGAAATAGTTTTCCCTACTGGTTTACATCCAGCTATTTCAAAGAAAAAGCGAAGTCCTCAAAGCACAATACTCCCTCCCCTCATACATGGGAGTTTAAAGAGCAACAACCATGCTGTGAGATCATCTCCTCAGTGGGCTTAATTACGTGAATTTGCCCAGAGAGTGATCATTGGCGTACGGCCAGCAAGAGGAGGCAGCTGCCCAGAGTAATTGCTGTGCCTCCTGCGTACTCCAGAGAAATACATTTCTTCCCCCCAAATCCCACCCAATGTTAAAATATGGTTTGATGAGCGCCTGAGCTAACGAGGATCCCTGGAAAGCCACCTCTTTGCCTTGCTGCGTCCCTGATTGCAGATTTTCCAGTGGATGGGCTTTAATCAGAGTTGTTCCTGTACTGACTGATGCTGTTCCATCGGTTCAAATCACTTAGAAGCTTTTTTTTCTTCTTTACCCGCCTTCCTTGAAACATGTTGCCGTCTTTCAGACTTTCTCCCAGGGAACAGTGGGGTGGCAACACCAGACAGAGGGCACATTGCAGCAGGGTCTCCAACAGCCCAGCAATTACGAGCTCAAGCCAAGCATCCCAGCAGCCAGATCTCTGGGTGGGTGACAGTCTCCCATGTAACCTCCAGGTCTCAGGTCAGAACTCCAGCTACATTGATCCAGATCAGCCCAGCACTTTGTTTAAGCAAATCAGCATTTTCCAGCAGGAAAAAAGTATTTCTGGAAATTTCTCACCATGATTATTTGCTTTAGCTCTTAAGAAGCAAGGCCAGTGCAGCGCAGCACTGGAAGGGGTTACCCAGACAGCATCCCAGGAGGTCTTCAAGGCTCAGCAGGGAAAAGCCAGGGCTGTCCTGGTCCGGTGCTGGTCCCACTACTGGGGACTAGAGCCAGACTAGAGCCCTGCTGAGGTCCCTTCCAATCAAAAGAGCCATGAATCTACCATCCAGCATCTCTCACTCTCTTTCCCAGCATCTCCCCATCTTCCTAAGGCAAAGCTGTCAGCCTCTGACTTGCTGTCGGTAATGTGTTTCTCCAGGCTTCTCTTCAATTATAGAGAGAAGCAGAAAAGTTATCTCAGAATGGAAAAGATAATGTGGAGGAGTGGAGAGTGAAATTCCCTTCTTGGGTTCCAGCTCAGCCAAGGGAAAGGTGTCCCAGGCTCTCCCA